TATATTCTATTAATTTAGATTACATATTTTTACCTTAATTTAACAAGCTATTTTTTTTTTGTTTTAAAAAAATAAATGTCAATAAATATCACTCAAATTAATATTTTTATATACATACGTATCGATTTGGATTTGTTATTTCATTATTTTAAATTACATATATATTAATTGCTGAATTTTTATCCTATCAAAAGTATATCTGTTTAAATTACTGTTTTTTCTCCTCAAATTTTCTTTTATATAGTTAAATGAAAATTTCCAATGACTTCATTCACGTCAATACTTTATAATTAAGTGTAGATGGCTCCCTAAATCGTGTCATTTCGATGACTCTACAGCAAAACTGACAGAAACATATTTTGATGACTCTACAACAAAATTGACAGACACATAAGTCTCGAGTCGAATCCTCTATACTTGGGATTGACATGTTTTTATTTTAATTTATAAAAAAATTGATAAATATGTTAATATATACCTCATTTGATTCACTCCTCTCTCTAAATTTAAATAAAGATATAAACTTTTATAATATCGAGTATATTAATTTCATTTTATAAGGTCGAAAGCCTTTTCAAGATCGAGGTACCTCACCAGAAACTCTATTTTATTTTCAATTAAAAAATAGAAAAATTAAAGATAATATTTTTAATTATCCAATCTGCATATATTATTAAATTTATTATTTGGATAAAGATGCGTCGATTAATATATACATTCCACATTTTTGCTACTCCCATTCTCTCTCCACCTATACATACACACAGCTAATGTATCTATAGACTACAGGCCAACAGCATGTCGACGGCCTTGCAGAGGACCAGCTCCGGCGACAGCGATCACTGGATCGAAGGCGCGGGATTCGGTCACCTCAACATGGCGCCGGCTTCCTCGATCTACATCCCGCCGGAGTTTTCCGCCGCTGATCGGAGGTTCCCGGCGGCGCCGGAGCTGGAAGATGAGGATCACCGCGATTCGTTGTCTTCCTCAACGACTTCTTCGATTGGGAAAAACAGCGACGATTCTACGACCGGCGTCGGAGGAGATGGGGAGGAGGTGCAGAGTGAATACAAGGGAGGACCGTTGGACAGTTTGGAGGCATTGGAGGAAGTTTTGCCCATGAAGTACGCCATTTTTTCTCCTCTGTTTTACTTGGTTGATTGATTATGCAATTTTCCTTTTCTCGATTAGGATTTTGGCTTTTGTAGAATTAGGTTAATTTGATTCATAAATTATATGGAGCCATTGGATGGCTCGGGTTATGGAGTCATCCATAACTTTATGTACTAAAACATGTCGACATGTGTATTTATTGCAGACACATGTCAATATATCATTCGTGAATAACTATGGATGACTCCATAAGCCGAGCCATCCGATGACTCCATAACAAAACCGGAGTGTTATTTGATAAACCTGGATGTTTATGCTATGGCTGTTATTCATATGAGCTGTTGTTTTAGACAATTTAGACATGATTTATTATTTTTCACTAGTTATTTGAAAATGTGCCGTTGCAGATGATCCTCTTAAGCTATCGGCAAGTCTTGCAAATTTATCGTTTCCCTTTTATCTTAAATATGATAGCAATTGTGACAACGCTACTTGAAAATCACTTTACCAACTTTTTTTTATGAATTTCTCGAGTTTGCAAATGAATCAGATCGGCTAATTAGTGATATTGATTGTTTTCTTTTCGGCAATAATAACGTATTAGTGATGTCTTGATATGGTCTGCTTAATTCAGGAAAAGCATATCCAATTTTTACAGCGGTAAATCAAAATCGTTCACTAGCCTCTCAGACGCAGCAGCCTGCCCGTCCATCGACGACATCACTAAACCGGAGAATGCATACACCAGAAAACGCAAGAATTTGATCGCTTTCAATAATATTATGGAGAAGAATCGCAGCAGCATATCGCGAGGCACCAAGAGCGGCATATCGAAAAGGCCCAACAGCTGTAGAAGCATGCTGGCACTTGCAGCGGCTGCAAATGTCTCTGATGCTAACTCTGCTGAAACCTCTTGCTCCTATTCATCTTCACTGGGCTCCAGCCGACCTCCTTTGCCGCCTCATGGAAGACGAGCTTTGCAGCCCGCGCCTTTGGTATTCCCCCCTGCCAATAAGCTTTCTTCTTTGCGGTCTTTCTCCTTGTCTGATCTGCAAGGTGATGGTGCAGATGAGGATTCTAAACCCTGTGGTGCCGGATCATGGATCAATATAGACTACCACAATACTATAAAATAAATTTCACCTTACTGTTTCGTGGGTCGTTCAATGAAGTCCACAATATGATTTATGTTCATTGATGTGGAGTCACTTGTGCTTTTCTTTTCTTCTTTTCTTCCTTTGATTTAGTGTAATGTATCTCTGCTCAATATAGTTACAGGCATGTCAATTCCCGGAGCACTTTCAGGATGTAATGACTAAAATACATAATTGTAGTGTTTGTTTCACACTCTGCTCTGTTATATGTCTGAATAGGATATCTATAAATTACTATTCTTGTAGTAACAGTTCCTTGAAAGTTCCTTGAGCAGTCACATATGTGGTTGTCTGTGAGAAGGTCAGTATTGCTGAAACATTGAGCTTCTCTTGGAAAGGTTTGCTGCCGCCATTGTTGAAAGTGCTCAATATGAGAGTAGCTCGTCTCAACTAATATTTCTTACTTATATTACTGTTTCTCATTTCTTGCTGCATTCTGTGAATCTCTTTGATTCTTTTTTATTTTTATTTTTTTTTTCCCTATCAATTTTGTTATCTTAACTAGTTCTAGAGGCATACTGGTTGCTAGTATAACTCCCCAGCATTCAATGTAGAAATTCCACTTTCTTCCAAAATTGTAAGGAACATTGTACGTTGAGGAGTGCAGTTGATGAGTTATGATGGTGTATTCTCCATAAGGTACGGTTTACTACTTTTGACATGGGTCCGTGCTTTAGCTTCCAACCTGATTACTTCAACATTCTTTTGTTCCCACTCATCTATTATCTCTATACGAAGACGTTAGGGGTTTTATTTTCATCCTCCCTGATACGGATTTCTTGTTGATGTATTTTCAGTAGAAGAGCCATGTGGGCGTAAGTTGTTGACTAGGTTTTAAACATTTTGGGGAAAGCGTTCGCCACTTTTGAACTTTTTAGAATGTATTCTTGTAATCCTTAGAGAAGATTGTCTTTTGGGGCCTGGTGCACTTTTATTCTTCGCCCTTCCTCACCTCCGACGTGTGTGTGTACACGTTCTTCTGGGGCTCATTGACCAAAAAGAAAAATTTACGATACTCGCCCATCGGGTGAATATAGGTCCTCGACCTATTTATTAGTGACTCGTAAAACAGATATTTTGTCTGTATTACAAGTATTTTTTTTTTCCTATTTTTACACTTTGCTGATCGGTTTTCCTTTAGGAGAACAATTTTAATAAATTTGGAGCATTTTTTTTTTTTTTTTT